ACTGTTCACAGTACGTGGGCCCTCATTTTGATAAGTGGTTAAGTTAGTTTTTAGAGATAATTGCTTCATTAGGTAATATGTTTAACTATGCAAAATTAGAGAAATTTGTATTAAGTAATTAAAAGTGGCAGTTTTGAAAATTTTGTAATATATGTGGAGTCTACAATGTAAATAAGATATTTGTGTGTTTTAAATAGCATATTAATAGCATATATTTTTTATTTTGATTATTATGGCTTGGTGGATTAAAAATCGAAAATTAAGGATAAAATTATAAAATGAGAAATTTACTAGGTTAATATCTTTTTTAGAATTTGGAATTTATCTCTTTTATATGTGGTAAAAGTGAGCTAAATCAAGGGGGTTTAAAATAATTAAATGAGATACTAAATTATGGGTAGTAGTATTTAAATGTTATAGAACTTGCAAAAGTTCTTCTCTAATTGACATTGGCTTAGTGAAAATTTTAGGTTAGTTCTCATGTTGGAAGGTGCATAATTAATTGATTGTCTTGTATATTATGTGAAATAACAATAGATTGACATGTTGTTTGCGTTTGTAATTATGAAAATACGTGACATGTTTTGTGTTGTAATTAATTATGTATGTCTTTGATGTTAAGTGATTAAGACCTTTGCCACAACCTATTCGACACCAAGCGAATTCCCTTGTATGAGTTTATGGATAAGACTCTGGAGTTAGCAAGATTTTCTACCCTATGAAACGGTTCTCTATAAGGTTGAAATGATATGAAATCCTATGATGACATGGCTCTTGTAGTTATGGTATGATATTAAGAAAAGACCATAATCATGCGGATTTAGAGTGGTGTATTTATCCTCACTAATGAAGAGAACACTCGTGATAAATGGGCCGAGGTGTTGCAAAAGGTATGAATGATTTCCGTTCCCCATGAATTGATGGTGACGATGCCTTGTTAGTCGAGATGCCTCATGAATCAAGATGGTCCTAGCCAGTGACGAATGTGAATTCATATGTGTGAATCGATGAGATATTATATGATATTCACGATATATAATTTGTCATCCGCTTGCACATGAGTGATTGATTTTATGCAATGTTATTGTTGTTTCACTGACACGTCATGATTGGAAGGATAATACATTTATTCATGTGTTATGTACTGTATTGAACTCATAATTATTGTTGATACCAAATTGAGTGGTGAGTAAATCTTCTATCTTAGACTTAAAGATTTTAATTACTGGGCCTCGGCTCACTCCTTATTGTTCAGATATGTAAAATGGATCCCTCACCGCCGCCGCGTTTTGGAGATTCCATGTTTTTCGATTATAGTTATGAAGATATTATTGTACCTGGATCACCAGTAGTTTATACTAGGTATACTACCGTTTTATGGGTCGACGTGGGTTACTAGAGTATATAATCTATCGTTATGTCGCTTGGTATGTGAATATCGAGGATGAGTTAGTTGGACCGCTTAGACGCTTTGATGGTCCTCCAGGGTTTGGTGATGGTGGCATGTCGTCGAGTGAAGTCATCGACCCTTAGTTGATGGTCCGTTAGTGTACAGGCAAACTTTTGGACATAGTAGTATAATGCTGAAGTTAAGCGACTTTGACCCTTTCTAGAAATTATGTATTTTGTTTTTTGCTAAATGTTGTATTGTAGAACTGATGATAATGTTTATAAAAAGATGCATATATATTTTATTAAACTTGTATGAGAATTGTGCGAATGCTTTAATATGCTTTCGCGTGTTTTAATAATTTTAAGTAATAATTGGAAACGACATGTATCGCGTGTGACGTTCTGAGGCGTCACATTGCCCTAGGCTAGTAAACCTGCGACCTCTGGCAGCGAGCCTGAAGCTTGACAACCTGAGCTCGAGCTTGCCTATGGCCATCGCCGAGCGACCCTCAAGCTCGCCGGTTGCCGTCGCTAGCCAATCACGGCGGAGTAAGGAGGAAAAAGAAAAGGAAAGAAAGGAAAAAAGAAAAAAGAAAAGAGAAAAAAGAAAATTATAAAAAATTCTAATTTTTTCAAAAAAGAAAAGAAAAAATAAAAAAATCGATTTTTAAAATAAAAATATTAAGAATTTTGATTTTTTTTGCCTGAAATAAAGTTATGAAATTGAAATCATTTTCCAATGATATCCAAGCATCAGAAAACAATTTCCATCCTGTATCACCAAACAAAGGAAAACTAAGCGTTTTCTTGGAAAATGATTTTCCAGAAAGCATTTTCCTTTATCATTAAGGGTGCGTTTGTTTTGTGGAAAATGGACCATTTCTGGAAAATACTTTCCAACAAATTATTTTTCAGGAAAATGAGTTCATTTTTCGGTATTTGGATAAAACTTAAAAAAGACTTGGAAAGTATTTTCAATTATTTGGTGAGAAAAATCTGATGGTGAAAATTATAAGAAAAATTCGTATTTTTTAAATTATTTCAAATTATTTGTTATTTTTATTAAGAAAAGAAAATACATAAATGTTTTCTTTCTTAGAAAGAAAAGAAAAAATATTAACAAATTCAATATGAGCAATTCCGGAAAGTGTTTTTACCTTTTTAGATTAGGGAATTCACTTTCCTAAGATTAAACATGACATTTGTGTTGACCGAAAAGTATTTTCCGTTAACCAAATTATTTTCAGAGAATCAAACAGATGAAAATCCAGAAAATACTTTCAGATAAAATACTTTCACCAAAACAAACACACCCTAAGTTTTTCGCAAAACAAACGAACCTTTAGTTTAGATTAAGTACAAATAATTTTGCAACACTCACTTTAAACCAAAAGAAAAAAAGAAAATCAGACACGCCTCATAGACATATTGCTTCTATAAAAGTACTCCCCGCCCAATAAATGAAATTTTAACAATAAAATAGGCCCATTAGAGAATGCCTACTGTAATCAATCACATCAAAATGATCAATTAAAACACAACACGTTGATTATCTAACAAATAATGCGTTACAATTCAAATGTCATATCTCATTAAATAATACAGATTCGCGTTCATGATATGTTTAAGATAATATTATATTTGAAAAATGTCTCTAAGCACAAAATTCATATGATTTACTGAAATACTGCATGAAATTCCATAGAGGCGGGTCAGTAAGTGAAAGACAGACATACTTACACTAGATGCATATTGTAGAATTTTTTTGTGTTTTCATGTGTTGGGAATTTTTGAAAAGAAAACTAGTGTTTTGAAAATCTGTCAATAAATAAAACAACGAAAAAATCACTGTATAACTTTTTTACACATTCTCTACAGAAAGAGTTCGCAGACTGCAAGGGAAAAAAAACAAATAAAAGAATTGTTTCTTAGTTTGCATCTAAAACCAAAAGGTACTATTACAGGAATCGAACATACAAGTCATAAGGTTTCAAGCATTTTGTGGTCAGTTATGGTAAGTTACTCTTTGCACAAGTAACGGACCGTTTTGTAAGCATTATCCTAGTTCCATCTATTATGCAGTGTCAATTTGATTTGAGTGCAAAAAAAAGAGGATCAAGGAAGCATCGTTGCCAAATTTTCTGGTTGGATTAGTTAATATCATCAATTCTTATCAATCTTAATGTACAGTAGGTGAAATAGAAAAGAGTATAGAATAACCAAGCGCTATATCGCAATTTCTTAATCGTCATTAACCTACTCTTTAAGGAGAGAAGATGCTATACTATGCTATATATAGATATATGTGAGCTTTTCCCGAGCCATTAGGAATTAAACATATCGTGAATTTCGTAATGTTGATATGAATGACACGTTTACCAGTCGGCAAGAGATGGTACTTAATATTATGACAAAGACCTGCATATAAAATATGGAAAACTTAAGGCTATGTTTGATAGCTAGGATAAAAGTCAGGATATGATAGAATTTATCTTATTCCGTATTTGATTCCTGCCGAAGATAGGATAAATTGGATACAAGAGGGATATAACATGTATAAAAATATCTGCAGTTCTTTGATTCATGTCAAAAGTATATGAAAGTAGCAAAAAAGTCGAAACCCATCTTTTCCGTAGCTTCGTGGTTTATTTGAAATTTCATGAAAGTGGCGAAAGAGTCAAAGCACTATATTTCAGAATTGCAAAGGTTAATAATCATGTTAGCTTTCTTTTACTAGATTTTGGTGTTCGCTGGTTGATCTATTTCGTCGATGTAGCCGTAGTTGTCATTGTTGAACCTATGATTTTGGAATGCTGCAATGAGTTCTTTTTCCGTGTAAGATGTAGACGGTGCAATGATTATGAATTGATCGATGGAGATTGTCTCTGTTTATGCATTTGTCGTTTCTTTAGCAGTGAATCATAAGAGATTTTTGCCATCTCTGTTTGTGCATTTTTAGGTTCATTTACATCAATATTTCGTTCGTACTAAATAATAGACATGATGGGATATGAAAGTATCCGGCTTTATTATCACGATTCACCAAACAGTGGATAGGATATAGTAGAACCTCTACTTATACTATCCTATCCAGTCTTATCTTCGCTAAAAATCCAGATGACCAAACATGGTCTAAGTTGATTGGTTTCTACAAGCGATCGCGTCTTTCATTTTTTTTTTTTTAAATACTCCATTAATTTAAAAGATATGAACAAAATTCCACTAGATTTTGGATGCCAATCATCCTCGAGAGATTTGAATATATATTAATTATTAAGCACGTAGAAATAATTAAAACATCAGTACACAGTTTTTGATTTGGGACTTTAGTCATGTGTCCACATAAAAGTCTGATTGCAACGACATAAGCATCATCAGTCACCAATCATCAATAAAAAATCCATCAACATCATCATCTACATCTATCAAAGAGAGAAAAAGAAATCAATATGGCCCGAGTGCAGCAGGCGATGGAGGATATGCTTGCAAAGGTAAGTGCAGCTGGCGATGGAGGATGCTTGCAAAAGGCAAGGAAATCAAAGACTGCCTTAAAAGAGAGGTACCGTCCAGATTCACTCCCCTTCTTCATTCCTGTAAACGGCCAAAGGCACAGTCCAGATTCACTCCCATTCTTCATTCCTGTAAATGGCCGAGCAAAACTTAATTTGCTAGCCAACAAGCACATGCTAATTAGTTACCTACCTCCCCTACGCACACCGACCAAATTAAACTTTCCCAAAGAAAATAGAAGAATATATAAAAGAACTTTCCATTCCAATTCGAGTTGCGCCCATCTTGGCCTTAAGTAAACGCACATCGTGTGCCCTGTTCCTGAATCCTGTCCGACCCCTCCCCCCAAAACCTTCCCTGGATCGCCACCATGGATGCGCAGAAGCAAGAGCAGAGGAGCTACTGGAGATGGAGCAAGCAAGACTTCTTCCCCGAGGAATCCTTCGCCAGCTTCGCCTCCTACAAGGCAGCCCTCTCCCAGACCTTCCCTCGCCTCAGGGATCGCATCCTTGACCGGTCGACTCGGTCCAAAGAGCTCGTCGAGCTCAAGAAGGAGAGCGAGAATGACATGAAACGCTGCCTCAACTGGTGGGACCTCATGTGGCTCTGCTTCGGCTCCGTTGTCGGGTCGGGCATCTTCGTCATCACCGGCCAGGAGGCCCACGACCACGCCGGCCCTGCGATCGTGCTCTCCTACGCCATCTCGGGCCTCTCTGCATTGCTCTCCGCCTTCTGCTACACGGAGTTCGCGGTCGAAATCCCCGTCGCTGGTGGGTCTTTCTCGTACTTGCGTATTGAGCTAGGCGATTTCATTGCTTTCATTGCGGCCGGTAATATTCTCTTGGAGGCCATTGTGGGCGCGGCTGGCTTGGGTCGTTCTTGGACGTCGTATTTCGCGAGCATGATCAAGAACGACCCTGATTTCTTGAGATTTCACGTCAAGGGTTTGGCCGAGGGGTTTAATCTCTTGGACCCTTTGGCTGTAGTGGTGATTGTGGTGGCTAATAGCATTGCGATGGCCGGGACAAAGCATACCTCTTGCTTGAATTGGATCAGTTCTGTGATTAGTGCGGGGGTCATAGTGCTTATAATAGCAATTGGGTTCTCTCGTGGTCATGTGTCCAATTTAGTCCCCTTTTTCCCTCTAGGAGCGAGCGGGGTTTTCACCGCCGCAGCAGTCGTGTACTGGTCTTACACGGGGTTTGACATGGTGGCGACCATGGCCGAAGAGACGAAGAAGCCGTCCAGGGACATCCCAATCGGTTTGGCCGGTTCGATGACTGTGATCACCGTGATTTACTGTTTGATGGCTCTGGCACTGACCATGATGCAGAAGTACACTGAAATTGACCCCAATGCGGCTTATTCTGTCGCTTTCGCGAGGATTGGCATGAAGTGGGCTAAGTATGTCGTCAGCATTTGTGCCCTCAAGGGAATGACCACAAGTTTGCTGGTCGGGGCTCTTGGGCAAGCTCGGTATATGACTCAGATTGCCAGGGCTCATATGATCCCGCCCTGGTTCGCTCTCGTTCACCCAAAAACCGGCACTCCTGTTAATGCTACTCTATTGATCACCGTGCTTGGTTCTGCTGTGGCATTATTCTCTAGCTTGGATGTATTGTCTAGCGTGTTCTCCTTCAGTACGCTGCTAATTTTCATGCTCGTCGCCATTGCATTGCTGGTGAGACGGTATTATGTTAAGGGCGAGACTCCAAAGAGCGATCTTCGCAAGTTTTTGGCTTCTCTGTTCGTCATAGTCGCTTCTTGCATCGGAGGGACAGCACTTTGGCGCTCAAACGTTGGAGGATGGATCGGTTATGTGGTTGCTGTTGTTTTCTGGGTTTTGGGCACTTTAGGAATGGAATTGCTGCCGCAGCTGCGTGTGCCACAGCTCTGGGGGGTTCCCCTGGTTCCACATCTGCCGTCGTTGTCGATCGGGACGAACATATTCCTGATCGGTTCGCTGGGCACTGAAGCATTCTGGAGGTTCTTCATCTGCACTGCGGTGATGATACTCTACTATCTCCTCGTCGGGCTTCACGCGACTTACGACGTGGCTCGCCATATGGCACAGGAATCAAAAGTCGAAGATGGAAAGGGGAAAGTAGATCATGGCTTGTCATAGGGGGTGGTGTTGGGTATAGCCTTGGATACTGTATAGTAGTATATCCCCTTCCAGTTTGGACATCGTTGCTGATGAATTGGATACTTTTGCCGAATAATAAAGTATGATACATTGTTAAAACCTAACTCTATGAAGGAGAGAAGGTATTCTTACCTATACTAGATATATATATATATATAGAGAGAGAGAGAGAGAGAGAGAGAGACAGATTAGGAGTTTTTTTTTTTTTGGTCAAAGACAGATTAGGAGGTAAGCAAGCTGTAAATTTCTCGATCTTGACCCGAGCGACGTGTTTAGGACTCAACAACAGAGGGAAAATTGTCCAAAGAGTCCTAAATCCATTGTACGGCGGCTAATTTAATTTTTGACATTTCAATTGTGTCAATTTGGTTCAAGCGTATCATAAATCTCTTCTCCTAAGGAGTTCGGATGTTAAACCTTTTGACGATTTGCTAATTTAGTCATTTCGATCAATTTTGACCACAAATTACTGACGTTGCAGTCTAGTAAACATCGATTGTCGTATGTGGTACGTTGACGCTGACATTGACAATTTTTATAGTTTCTTTTATTTTTTTTTCTTTTTTTCCTTTTCTTTTCTTTTTTCTTTTTCCTTTTTCCCTCCATTAGCCTTAGGTGAGGGCTGCCCTCTCCATCCCAGGCATGGGCAATGACTGCGGCCCTTGCCAGGCCAAGCAAGGGCGATCCTTGCTCGAGGCCGGCGGAGGGTAAAAAGGATAAAGAAATTAAAAGAAAAGGGAAAAAATCATTAAATTTAAAAATTGCAAAAATTGTCTTCATTAGTGCCGGCGTGCCATTTAGGAAGGCTGAATAGATGCCTCGTCTGTAATTTATGATCAAAATTAGCTGAAAGGACTAAATTGACAAATCGTGAAGAGGTTTAAGACTAAAATGGTAAATCATTAAAAGTCTTAGAACTACACTAGCACAATTGAAAAAAATTATGACTAAATTGGTAAGTTGTCTAATGGTTTATGACTAAATTGGCAAGTTATCAAAATATTTAGATTAAATTGGCACAATTGAAAGGTTTAGTATTGAATTGATTGTCGTATATTAAGTTCATGACTTTTTTTACAATTTTTCCTAATAAGAGATTGTATTTAATACTATGACAAAGACCTACATCAAAAATTAGAAAGCTACCATGAAGTGACTTAAGGTAATACGTTTCTACTAGCGACTATGACTTTCTTCTTTTTAATAAATATTTAATCTATTCTTCGGACAGGACGCACAAAATATTTTATGAGTTTGGATGTCGATCATCCTTAATTTTCATAATTTACCCCATGAATTTTAGAAATTGATTGCAACATGTCCCCTAGAGTTGATTCTGACCAAATACTGCTTGGAGCTTCGATCACATACTCAATTGTGGAGGGTAAAGTTGTTATATAAGTATATACATACAAAAAGTAAAAGAATAATCCAGAAGTATATTACACACACGAGAGTAAGTGACTAAAGTTCCGGCGAGCACATGACCGTAGTCAACACCACACTCATATCGATATACAACTCTGAAATATATATTTTGAGTAGCCCTTATATTTTTTTTTCTCATATATAGAGACGATACATAATCAAATTGCCTTTCAAAACTAGTAACATGGTTTGATACTTGAAAAACATTAGTCAATAGTCAACGTTAGGGAGGAAATTGCAACAAATTTAAAAAAGTCAAAGGGCAAATTGCAAATTGCAAAAATCAAAGCATCACAGGTAACTTGCCACAATCTCAAAACTTGGGGGAAATTATAATTCTCTCAAAAATTAAAAAAATCACAATTGTCAAGCTAAAATTCGTTAAACGATTGAGATTTACTATATTTCAATCTCACGATAAAAAATTATAAGGCCACGGTACCTATTTGATAGGTTGGCATGTGCTCAACAATTGAATCGATTGTTTTGTTTTTGCAAACTGGCCTCCTCATCCTTTTCCTCCTCTTCATGTATGAGGTTAAGCTTCACCAATGGTTGTCACAGCTCTATTTGGCGATTCATATTGAAGACGATTGATATTTCACGGGGTCACTCTTTTCCCAAAAGAAATGCAATATGGGTGAATGAATTTTGTAAGACAGTTGATCGATTGTTATGAATCTGGAGAAGAAATGGGTGGAACCTTGAAGAATGAGTGTCGAAATTAGAGCTTCTTTTCTTTTTCCGGCTCCCCTGATCCCCGCTCCAACTTCTGGGGGAGAGGAGGAGGAGGAGGAGGCTCATGATGGTGGTGGTGGTGGCGCCGTTGGAGGCGTGGTGGTGGACAGGTTTTGAGAGATGGCAGTGAAAATTGAGAAACAGAGAAAGGGAGGAGCCGATGAGGATGATGATATACCAAACGATTCCACACTGGCTTGAATGTGTAGGCCTCGGGAGATCTATTCGGAAGCCAAGAAAGACTCAGAGAGAGGTGTTATGTGGAAGGAGATGGACGTTGTTGAGTTGGAGAAGACAACCAACTTAGGCTTTTTTTTTTTTGGTCAGAACCCACTTAGGCTTGAGATGAGGTTAAATGAGCCATCAATTGGTAAGGGATGCCGATCGAATTAGCCTCGTGCGATCTTAGGAATTTCTTCTCAAATCAGTATTTTCCACACTCACTTGCACACAAGGATCTTAAAATGAGAAACTTCAAGAAAGAGAAGTTTTGGATTGTATTATTATTATGAGAATGATATGTACAAATGATAGGTAGGAGATCCCTTTATATACGAGTACAGGGTCAACCATATCTATAAATCTCTCTTTGAACTAACGGTGGATATCACATCTCCCCAATTACGAACTACCTCCATTTATTACAAGAGGATACAATTATAATATTGCTCGCCCCCAGGAGTATTCTAGAACGTACAAGAAAACCCTATGACTTAAAACCCTCGAGGTTCGCCAGCTCGTTCATGGATCGATTACGATCCATCGTTCAAAAACCCTCGAGAGTGATACATTTCTCTAGGCGGTGACACAAGCGTTCTCCACAATTAACTTATAAAACACTGATTTAATCTACAAGTAGATTGGGGATTTATCTTTACTTTTCTAAAATATGCATGTTCGAAATTTATAAGTCGACCAATCTCACGCTCCATTTATTTCATAGAAATTTTGACATTTCTAGAAAATATTTTTCCAAGAAGTAATTATCTAGGAAAATAATGATATTTTCCGGTGTTTAACTGAAATCTAAAAAATGAGTTGCGTTTGAAAGGAAAACCTGCTTTCACTTTCCTAAATTGACATTAACTGTGATTTGGACATAAGCAGCCGGAGAATCGAGCCCAAGTCTATGGAAGCCTGGCTTAGGACCCCTCGATGGACCCAGGCCGAGGCTCCAGAGTCGTAGGCCGAGGCTCCAGGGTCATGGGCCTTGCCTCTATGGGCTCAAGCATTAGAAACTCAAGCCTAGGCACTGGGAAGCCAAGCATGGGCACTAGGTCCGTAGCCTGGCCTCTATGGACCCAGGTTTGGTCTCGATGAACGCAAATACACATGTCGGGAAGCTGAGGCATGGGCACCGGAGTCTCGAGCTTGGCCTCTGTAGACCTAGGATGGTCTTGATGGACCCATTCTTCAAAGGCAACAATTTGATGAGAAATTTTGCTTAGAATTGAATCTTTGGTTGGGTCCGGTATGGGTTACCAAAATTCTTTTATATAAAATGGGCCAAAACGGGTTGAATAGGTTAATTTGGGTCAAACCATTTTCGATTTGACTCGAACTTGATGATCCATCCCACTTGCCTAATATGGAGGGAACCTATTTACAATAAATGGGATGAAAAAGAAAGCAATCAATTCAAATTATTTCTATATTTCTTGGACTTTTGTCATGTGTCCATATTAATTCTAATTGCAATGACGTAAGAGGAATTATATCAAAAAAGTCTTAAACTTATTGTATCGGTACCAATTGAATCATAAACCTTTTAATTGGACCAATTTAGTCCTAAACCTTTTTGCATTGGTATCAATTAAGTCCATTTGACCGGAAATTACTGACGTGGATGTTAGCTGTTCTAGGTGGCACAACCAGCGCTAACGTGGATATTTTAAATAATATTTTAAATATGTTGTAATTATTTTGGTTTTTTTCTTTTATGTTTTTACTATCTCTCTCTCTTTTTGGTCATGGGCCAAGAAAGGATGCCAGTTGACCCTCGCCAGTCACAAGCAAGGGCCTAGATGCCCCCATTGGCCGTCGGCGAGGGCCTTGTGCCCTCACTCGATTTGGGTGTCGTGACCCTCGCTAGATCTGGGCAAGGGGTCGTGCACCCTCACTTTGGCTAGCGAGGGCCTCGCTAGAGCCGACGAGGGTTAGCTGACGGCCCTTGTTCACCCTCAGCCCAAAAAATAAAAATAAAGAATAGAAAAAAAAGGAAAAAAAGAACCAAAAAAATTATAAGAAAATTCAATTACTATTAAAAATATTATTAAAAAATATTAACGTTAGCACCGATCGTTCTACTTGATACGACCAGTGTTCACTTCAACGATTTCCGATCAAAATTGATTAGATTGACTTAGTCAGTACCAATGTTAAAAGGTTCCGAACTACAATGCAACATACTTTTTAAGTACTTTTTCCACATATAGGCGTCATCAATCATCATCATCATCATCTACCAAAGAGAGAAAAGAAGTCAATTTGACCGGAGTGCAATAGTCAATCGAGGATGCACAGGTAAAGAAAGACTTGACAGATTGATATGCTCGCTAGTTGCCCTTTGGACAGGAGAACATCCAGAAAAATCAGGTGGGAATCGGTTGTGCTCGTCATTTCGCTGTTCATGCATGCAATCTCTGCCGTTTATCATTAGACCGACGCTACCTTCCTCTCTGTATATTATGTCTTTTACAGAATACTAAGTCAATCTTGTTGACTCTGTTTTGGATACAGAGCTCTATCTTCCGTTGGATGGGTGGCATGGTTTAGTTATGAATCTGGTCAAGAACCTGCGCTGTCCAGATTCACTCCCTTCTCGAGGCGATCATTCCTGACAACGGCCAAGCCCAGTCCAACGTAGCCGCACCTGCTAGAATTCCGGGATCGGAGTTACCGACCTCCCCCACACACCCGGTTGCCAAATCCCCTGATTTTCTAGGATTCCACAGAATCCAAAACTTCCCCAGAAGAAGAATGAAATATAGGCAGAGAATTCTCCATCCCAATTCGATTCACACCCATCTTGGCCAAAAGCAAATGCACATCGTGCCCTGTTCAAGAATCCTCGCCAGCCCCCCCAAACAACCTTTCCTGGATCGCCACCATGGATGCGCAGAAGCAAGAGCAGAGGAGCTACTGGAGATGGAGCAAGCAAGACTTCTTCCCCGAGGAATCCTTCGTCAGCTTCGCCTCCTACAGGACAGCCCTCTCTCAGACCTTCCCTCGCCTCCGGGATCGCATCCTCTACCGGTCGACTCAGTCCAAGGAGCTCGTCGAGCTCAAGAAGGAGAGCGAGAATGACATGAAGCGCTGCCTCAACTGGTGGGACCTCATGTGGCTCTGCTTCGGCTCCGTTGTCGGGTCGGGCATCTTCGTCATCACCGGCCAGGAGGCCCACGACCACGCCGGCCCGGCCATCGTGCTCTCCTACGCCGTCTCGGGCCTCTCTGCATTGCTCTCCGCCTTCTGCTACACGGAGTTCGCGGTCGAAATCCCCGTCGCAGGTGGGTCTTTCTCGTACTTGCGTATTGAGCTAGGCGATTTCATTGCTTTTATTGCGGCCGGTAATATTCTAACGACCCTGATTTCTTGAGATTTCACGTCAAGGGTTTGACCGAGGGGTTTAATCTTCTGGACCCTTTGGCTGTTGTGGTGCTTGTGGTGGCTAATAGCATTGCGATGGCCGGGACAAAGCGGGCCTCTTGCTTGAATTGGATCAGTTCTGTGATCAGTGCTGGGGTCATAGTGCTTATTATAGCAATTGGGTTCTCTCATGGTCATGTGTCGAATTTAGTCCCCTTTTTGTTGAAAAAGAACAAGCGGCAAGTATGGTTCAATAGCCTCTAAAGAGAGCAAAAAGTAGAAGATGACACACACAAAAAATTGCTGCTGAAAAACTCTCGTACTTTTTACTCAACAGATCACAAGCCTATTAAATAGGCATAACATTGAAAACTACTCAGCAAGAAAATAACAACAGGATAACAATAACAAAGACCCACTAACATATCCCACTAACTAAAACGTGTAGAAACAAACCCCTACAAACTAGGACTCCACTACTACATTATTGAAGACATGTAAAACTGAAATTTGACCAGTTCAACACTACTTCACGTGCTGGTGTTGTGTTTGTTCAATACTCCCCCTCAACACCAGCTTCTACTCTTTTCACCATACCGAGCTGATGACAGAAACTTTCGAACTTATTGCTACTCAAGCTTTTTGTAAACAAATCTGCAACTTGGTTTTCTGTTTTGACATGCTCCAACTCAATTTCTTCTTGCAAGACTTTCTCTCTGATAAAATGATGATGCACCTCCACATGCTTAGTTCTTGCATGAAAAACTGGATTCTCTGCCAAACGTATTGCCGACAAGTTGTCGCAGTACAAAGAGACACCATACTCTGTTGGTTGATGCAAGTTTTTCAATAATTGCATAAGCCAAGTGCTTTCTTGAGCTGCCATCGCTGCTGCTCGATATTCTGCTTTCGTGGTTGACAAAGACACCGTTGGTTGTCTTTTACTACACCAAGAAATTGCTCCGGACCCAAGCATGAAGACATACCCGGTAGTTGAACGCCGGGAATCATGGTCACCTGCATAGTCAGCATCACAGTAGCCAACTAGTCTGCAATCTCCACCTTTCTTGTACATAATACCATAGCCAAGCGTGCTCTTCACATATCTCAAGATTCGACGAACTGATTCCAAATGAGTCTTCTTTGGATTTTGCATGTAGCGACTCATCACACCAACTGCAAAAGAAACATCCGGTCTTGTTAAAGTTAAGTAGATAAGACTACCCACCAACTGCCGATACATGGTAGCATCTTCTAAATCTTTCCCTTCATGAGCACACATTTTGACGTTTGCCTCCATCGGTGTCGAGATTGGCTTGCATCTAAGCATTGCAAATTTCTTCAACAAATCTTTTGAATACTTTTGCTGATGGAGAAATATTCCTTCCTGAGTGTAGTCGACCTCTAAACCAAGAAAATGTTTGAGCTGTCCAAGTTCTTTCATCTGAAAGCGAACTGACAAATTCTCCTTGGTTTGGAGAATTTCTTCTTCCCAATCTCCTGTGATGATTAAATCATCCACATACACCAGCAAAATAGCTAGCTTCCCTCCTTTAGCTTTGACAAACAAGCTAGAATCCGCACATGTCACCGAATAACCACTATGAGTAAGAAATTCAGCAATCTTACCATACCAAGCTCTCGGTGCTTGTTTTAGCCCATAGAGAGCCTTTCGGAGCTTACACACATACTCAGGATGATCTTGATTCTGAAAGCCCATTGGTTGGCTCATGTAGATCTCCCGATCTAGCTCCCCATGCAAAAATGCATTTTTCACGTCCATTTGCCACAAGTTCCAACTTTTGCTTGCTGCAAGTGCCAATAGAACTTGTACAGTTGTAAACTTCGCAACTGGACTAAATGTTTCATCATAGTCTAGTCCATATTGTTGAGGGAACCCTCGAGCTACCAGACGAGCTTTGTGCCTCTCTATTGATCCATCTGTGCGACGCTTTATCTTGTACACCCATTTGCAAGAAATAGGCTTCACATCTCTTGGCTTTGGTATGAGCTCCCAAGTCTGATTTCGCTCTAACGCAGCAATTTCCTCTTCCATAGCCTTAATCCATTCCGAACTCTGAGACGCTTCCTCAAATGTCTCAGGCTCTTTTGCATCTGCCTCTTCTACTATGGCAGCATTAGCATACTTAGGATTTGGCTTTCGGGCTCTTGTTGACCTTCTAAGTGCAGTTGGTGTACTTGCTCCACTTGGCTCATCTTCTTCGCTTGGCCTTTGGTATACACCTGTTTGCCAAGGATTTTGAGCTATGCCTTCTTCAACATCTACATCGTCGTCTGCAACCTCTGTTTCACTTGAACTCAACTGGAATTGAGAAATTTCTAACATTTCCTTAAAAACATCCGAGTCCGGTAGTACTTCCTTGTTCGAGGACCACCATGAGGAAGCTTCATCAAACACCACATTCCGAGATGTGTAGCATTTCCCGGTTGTTGGATCGCAACATCGCCACCCTTTTCTTTGACTGTCGTATCCTACAAAGATACACCTAACAGCCTTTTTCTCCATCTTGCTACGTAACTGGTCAGGTACAAATACATAGCACACGCATCCAAAAACTCGAAAATGACCAACAGCAGGCTTCATGTTCCATATTTTTTCAAAGGGTGAACGAAAGCATAACCTTTGTTGAGGAAGCCTATTGGTCACGAAGGCCGCAGTCTTCATAGCTTCCGCCCAAAACCGTCCCGGAACATTCTTTGAATGAAGCATACTTCGACATACTTCTGCCAGATGCCTGTTTTTCCTTTCTGACACCCCGTTTTGCTGCGGAGTGCTAGCACATGTGAACTGATGGCGTATTCTGCACTCCTGAAGGAAATCTGTGAACTCATTTGAGATGTACTCTCCCCCATTGTCGGTGCGTAGACAACGGACTCTTTTACCAACCTCCGCTTCCGCTACCTTCTTGAACTCTATGAATTTTGAAAGAGTTTCAGATTTTTCCTTCATAAAGTAAACCCACACGTACCTCGAGAAGTCGTCAATGAAGGTCACCATATACTTCATCCCACCAACGGAGGCTTGCTTAATTGGTCCAAACATATCAGAGTGTATTAACTCTAATGGTTCCTTCGCTTTAAATTTAGACTCTTCATACGGCAACTGGTGCGCTTTTCCATACTGACAGCCTGCACATACAGTGTCTGTTCTCACTTCAAGTAGTGGAAGTCCCTTCAACATCGACTTCTTCATCATCACATCTAGCTTGGAATAGCTAACGTGACTTAGTCGCATGTGCCATAAGTTTGCCGTCTCATTCCTTATCGTCTTGTCTACATATGCGGTTTCCGCAGACATTACGTAGACAGACTCCGTTCTTCGTCCCTTCATTATTGGCTCTTCTGTAATCTCAAGGTCTCGATATATCTTCACATCTTGTGGACCGAACAGAACAAAATGGCCAGAAGATGTTAATTGTGCTACCGAGAGAAGATTTTTTCTCATACCTGGAACATGATAGACGTTTTGGAGTGGCACCTCGGCATCGCTACATTGGGGAGAGACGGTCGTATTACCGATGTGGGCTATCGGTAACTTTGAGTTATTCGCCGTCACCACCACCCGACTTCCCTTGTACTCCGACAAGTTCTGCAACTTTTCTTTATTGCCGGTCATATGGTTTGAGCAGCCTGAGTCAACAATCCAATCATTCTCATAATCGATTTGATTGAATGTTGTTGCAGTAAGGGCTAGCTCCTCCTTATCTACAGCAAAGAAAGCCTTAGCATCCCATTCGTCTTCGTTTTTTGAAGTAGCAGCGTTACTCTCGATGGCCTTCTTTTTTGACCAGCAATATTTCGCCATATGACCTTTTTTATTGCATGTAGCACTTCCCTTCAAACTTTTGGCCATTGCCGTGGTTCTTAGAACCTTTCCATGCACGAACGCTCCCTTCATCTTGATGACTTCTCGCCTTGTCATCGTTCTTTTTGGATCCACCGTGGGCATGCCGCTTGGAATTCCACTTGCCTTTGTTGGCATAGAGTGCCTCTTCTCCATTCTTCAACGAGACTCCTCCCATTTGCTTGGCTAATGCTTCTTGACCAGCTAGCAAATTTTCGAATTCGACAAGCGACGGCTGAGTTTGTCATCCTTGTATGGCAGCAACAAAACTCCTGAATTCTGGCTTCAAACCATGAATGATGATCCGCTTCATCCTGGTATCGCCAATCGGAGCCTCCGGATCCAATTCAGTAATCTCTCGGCATAACGTCTTCACTTTGTGGAAGTACTGAGTGACCGTCATGTCGCGTTGCACCATCGACAACAACTCGCTTTCTAAGAGTTGGAGCTTCGTATCGTTCTTCTTAGAGAACAGCTTGGTGAACGTATCCCAAGCTTCTTTGGGAGTTTCCGCATCTCGGATATGCTCCAGCACATCCTCTTCAACTGTCGTCTTCAAAACGAACATGGCTTTGCCCGCTTTAATCTTCCACTTCCGCAATGTCCCATTCGCATCTTCAGCCTCCGGTTGTCTCACATCGTTTCCATTGACAACCTCCCACAAATCCTGGCCCTGCATATAAGACATCATGCAGGTAGACCAAGAATTGTAGTTTTGGTTGCTGAGCTTCTTGATTCCGCCAACGACTTGAAGATCACCCATCTTGGCAATAGAGATGCTCACGAAATACCCAGAACCTAGCTTTGATACCAGATTGTTGAAAAAGAACAAGCGGCAAATATGGTTCAATAACCTCTAAAGAGAGCAAAAAGTAGAAGAGGACACACACAAAAAATTGCTGCTGAAAAACTCCCGTACTTTTTACTCAACAGATCACAAGCCTATTAAATAGACATAACATTGAAAACTACTCAGCAAGAAAATAACAACAGGATAATAATAACAAAGACCCACTAACATATCCTACTAACTAAAACGTGTAGAAACAAATCCCTACAAACTAGGACTCCACTACTACATTATTGAAGACATGTAAAACTGAAATTTGACCAGTTCAACACTACTTCACGTGCTGGTGTTGTGTTTGTTCAATACTTTTTTCCTCAAGGAGCGAGTGGGGTTTTTGCGGCCGCGGCGATCGTGTATTGGTCTTACACAGGGTTTGACATGGTGGCGACCATGGCCGAAGAGACAAAGAAGCCGTCCAGGGACATCCCAATCGGTTTGGCCGGTTCGATGACCGTGATCACCGTGATTTACTGTTTGATGGCTCTGGCACTGACCATGATGCAGAAGTACACCAAAATTGACCGCAATGCATGTGACATTCTGAATTTCGGGCCATTTTTGGGATTTATAAAACGTGTAATTCGTCGGTGTGCTTATAGTAAAATCTCGCCCGGGAACTGATCACTCTCGGTTATTGATTTTAAAATTGAGATTTCGCTAGAATCGCACTCGATCAAATTTAGCCGTTATTTAGAGCCCAAACTTTGGTGTCGAATTTCTCGGAGTTCCAGGACGAATTTAATTGGACGGTGTCGATATTATTGTGGCTAGCCTCGATATTGCACGGGATATGTGGAAAGTGAGTTTTTGACCAGGTGCGAATTTGGACTGGTAGATCACCCTCGCAGTGTGTTTTTATTAACACCCTTTTAAACAAATCCTAAAAATATTAATTAGGATTTTTCGGGGACCGTCGGATCGTTTCCGGATTTAAATCGTGGCCGTTAGATCGCAATTATTGCGATTTGACCTTTGCATTTTTCTCTCTCTCTCTCCTCCCCTCTTTCCCGCTGACCCCCCCTGCGGCTGACACCCCCACCTACCCCTCTCTCCCTCTTTCCCTCTTTCTTTTCTTTTCCTTTTTCTTTTCTTCTTTTCCTTCTTTTCCTTCTTGGTCGCTGCTTCTCCTTCGTGCGTGTGCTTCTTCTTCATCTGCTTCTTGCTTCTTTCGCTGCCCGCCGACCGGCCCTTCTCGCCGGCCCAGCCACCGCCGCCTACCGCCTCGCGCCGCCGAGCACTGCTCCTCCCCACCGTGAACCACCCCGTCCCAGCTCTCCTCCTTGGCCGTGCGGCACCGCCCCTGGCCGCTCGAAACCTCTCGTCGCCTGTTCGCCCAACCCGCGCGCGAGAAGCGCCTCTCGCTAGTTCAGCCACCGTTCGCCTCCGCCACTTGCCGCCGCTGTCCGGCACCCCAAATCACCGCCACCAGCTGCTGTTCATGCCGAGAACAGCCCCGACCAGCCACCACAGCAGCCACTCCCTTCGTCGCGCTCGTTCGTCGCCCGTCCGTCACTCGCCGGGCCGAGCCGGAAACCACCGCGGACCGCCCTCGTCGATGCTGTCGTCCTCGCGTCGTCGCCGGCGTTAGCCGAGTAGGTTAACCTCTAATCCCGTGTTTAGGGTGTTAAACTTGCTTTGAGTAGTTTAATTTATGTTTAGATTAGTATTTTGTTTGTTTTATTGGGTTTAAGTGATAGGTTATCGGTGGTTGTGCGATAGGTTATCGCGGATGTGGTGATAAGTTATCAGTTATTTGATTGTTATTGATTATTATATTAAATCAATTATTTTCGGAATTTAAATATTATTTTATTAGTTAATAAATTAATTCCGAATTAAATATTAATATTTTATCATTAAATAATTAATTTCCGGAAATTAAATATTATTATTTTCGGAAAATTTCTAGCGTCAAATTGTGATGCCAATGTTGGTTTTCGCCGTATAAGTTGGCGTATTTAGAAAATGATTTGAATGATTTTTGATTCAAGGAAATATTTTGACATTTTGGAAAATTAAATTATTTTCGGATATTATTAATTAATTAATTCCGAATTTAATTTATTGTTATTTTGGAAAATTTATAATTTCAAATTATGATTTCTAGCTTGAATGTTGGCGATTTTGCCGCGAATTGTCGTATTAAATTGATTTTATGGCAAATTGTTTGATCGAAAGTTTCTGTGGAAAATTTATGAGACTTTTGGAATTAAATTATTTTATTCTGTTATACCAAGTAATGTTAGTGATGCTTGGTGGTTGATATTCGTGTTTGATATCGAAGCTTGTGAGAATTGATTGACTGCTTGCATGTGTGGCCACTTGGTATTATTGCATGACATTGAGGAGAGCACGATTCATGTATGCATGGACTAATTGAGAAGATAATAATTGGCCGGAATGCTTGTGTGCTCGTGTGGTCACACGTTGGAGCCGTCTTGCTGTGTATCGCTTGACGATGCCCGATTTATCGGATGCCTGGGGATTATCTGGAGTACCGATACCCCGGATGCCTTGTCGCGGCCTGAGGCCGGACTCGATGCTCCTTACGGGATACCATCTTACTGTGTATCGTTTGATGTTGCCGTATTGGAATGCCGTCATCCTGTGTATCGTTTGACGTAGCCGTGCCCGACGAGGAGGGACGGAGCCCGGTTTTTACCGGAAGACTGCCATCTTGCTGCGTATCGCTTGATGTGTAGTGGCCCCGAGGGGGCGTAATAACTGGAATACGTGTGATACATAGTGCCTGATTATGTGGTAGAAACTGCTAGGCATGGTATGGGACGTGCCCAAGTGGATTCTATCTTATAATCGAGACACGCACGCTTGTGATGCATTGATGCATGAGTAAATGATTTAGATGTTTCGAGTTTGCGACATATGCATTTCATCAACGAATGTCTCAAGGCGAGGTAAGGATGCCTGTGATTGTTTAACGATGTGCTGATGATGCCCTATTGCCTGGTTAGGGACCCCCGTGCGAGTTGACCTCCTAAGCGGGGCTTAGGCTGTTAACTTATTGAGACTTTCGTCTCATTTGTTGTTGTTAACCACTTTTCAGGCCGTTAGCACGTTGATGCACCCAATTGGTTCAGGGTGTTCGGAAGCTGGTTTTTTTGGAGTTCGACTTGTTGGTGGAGTAGATTAACCCTAACTTTTGTCTTTTGCTGGCTCTTTGTGAAAACGCCCAGAGTGGGTTTGTAAGTATGTTCCCAGGAGTTAATCAAGTGAATATTAAAAATGACTTTTGTTATGTTTAGTTTTCCTCTGCTATCCCTGATTTGATTACTGTTTGGGGATTGTTGTGTTGGTTATCGTTTCCGCTTGCGTAATTCAAAGATAAAAAGAAAAGGGTCGGCGACGAGTCCTGGGTCGTCGCATCATAACGACCATAGCGGGATATTGCGTGTCCGTAGGGTTCGGGGTGTGACAATGCAGCTTATTCTGTTGCTTTCTCGAGGATCGGCATGAAGTGGGCTAAGTATGTCGTCAGCATTTGTGCCCTCAAGGGAATGACCACAAGTTTGCTGGTCGGGGCTCTCGGGCAAGCTCGGTATATGACTCAGATTGCCAGGGCTCATATGATCCCGCCCTGGTTCGCCCTTGTTCACCCGAAAACTGGCACTCCTATTAATGCCACGCTATTGATCACCGTGCTTAGTGCTGTTGTGGCATTCTTCTCTAGCTTGGATGTCTTGTCTAGCGTGTTGTCCTTCAGCACGCTGTTCATTTTTATGCTCATGGCTATTGCATTTCTGGTGAGACGATATTATGTTAAGGGCGAGACTCCAAAGAGCGACCTTCACAAGTTTTTGGTTTATCTCTTTGTTATAGTCGCTTCTTGCATTGGAGGGACAGCAGTCTGGGGCACAAACACTGGAGGATGGATTGGTTACGTGGTTGCTGTTATTTTTTGGTTTTTGGGCACTTTAGGAATGCAATTGCTGCCTCAGCGGCGTGCTCCACAGCTCTGGGGGATTCCCCTGGTTCCATATTTGCCGTCGTTGTCAATTGGGATGAATGTATTTTTGATTGGTTCACTGGGCGCTGAAGCATTCTGGAGATTCTTCATATGCACCGCAGTGATGATACTCTACTATTTCTTGGTCGGGCTTCACGCAACTTATGACGTGGCTCACCATATAGCACAGGAATCAAAAGTCAAAGAGGGAAAGGAGAATGTGGATCGTGGCTTGTCATAGGGGATGGTTCTGGTTAGCCTTGGACACTGGACAGTAGTATTCCCCTTCCAGTTTGGAAATAGTTGCCGTTGGGTTGGCTATTTTTGCAGGATCTGCAGATCGTGACTTAGCTTGATATCAAATTTTCCTTTTGATTAGCGCATCATCTGAAAGAATTTTTTATCTTCAGCCACAACACGTCATCTTATTTTGCTACTGCTGGGTATATACATGCCGACTGTAGAAATTATTGTTCATCACTCTTTGAAATAGATTATATTTGCCTTTTCTTCTCTTGAACATTCTGTTATTTTAAGGAGTTTTGGGAAGAGGTCTGTCTGTTACCATTGGTTACAGAATTCCATCATCAGCTAATGCCTCTTGTGGCTTTTGAAAACTCTGGTCAGCTGGGTGCTCACTGCTGAGGATTTTTAGACAAAAGTTAAGTAATATTGATTGAATCTGCTGTTCTTTTTGGTTTCAGAAACTGGGGCTGCACCATGGGAAATGCTGGAGAAAGTTCTGGTGACTTTTGTTAAGCCATGTTAAATAGAGGAATGATATTAAAATGGCAAACATGTCATTGTGCCTTTTTTGGTCATTTTTTTCTTTTGCCTCGGTAACATTTTGTTAGGTCTGGGTTCCAGTCCACAACTCTCTCGTCCGTACTGTTGAGCCGCATGTCCTATGGCGTCAATTTACTGGGTATCTGAATTTGCTGATCGGCATACGTTATTTTCATGTTTGTCGTGATCATGAGGGCACCTAACATGATACTTATAACATTACGACGAGTGCACTAATATACTGCAGTCTGGACATTGTTCTGAATCTAAATGACCGCATCACAAAAGGAAGCGATGTTTAGAAATGCGGCATGGAAGCTGCTCTTCATTTTTTGTGTCATCTGCTAAGCAGAACGTGTTCATTTCGGATTTTCAGAAGAAAGCGTGATTTTTTATGATAATAGTTTGCAACTGCTTCATCCTGCAAAATTCTTATCTGGAATCTTGGTTTCTTTGATATCCAACGAAGTTAACACAAGAAGTTCATATGGGCATGGGAGAATACTCTATCATACGAAAACAGTCTTGCGGTGACGAGCGAGTCATCACTATTCTTACTTTGTTAGATCTGTTTCTTGATAAGCGACAGGATGAGCAGGAGTTAAACTAAAGCCAGTATATTGAAGCTTCCTCTGGGCATTGACTTCTAGTAGTCGAGATTCGCAGGTGAAGAAAAACTTATCGATAAATTGGATGAAAGTTTAAGTATAAAACAACTCAGATGATCGTGATGGTGTGAAACATATACGAATATCGTTTCCACAGAGAAGGTGAAATGTTTGTTGCCTGTTTTCAATATTATGTATATGCTTTATGGGCCTGTTTCTTTTCTTACTGTAGACTAGCCCCTAATACAAAGGAATTGAAGCCGTGGAAACGTTGGTCACTGCGTCGAGGAGACGACGTGGGATGTCAATGGGCCTTTTTCTTGCATACAATCTCCTGGCACTCTTCCAGTGTTTCTGCCAGCCACCTCGTTCATGTCCGCTAGTGCTGGTAACTCTCACTTGCATGGCATTATGATCTGAGAAGTACATCTCTAGTCAATTCAAATAAATGCTATCTTGATCACAACTAGAGTGTGTACCGGAATGCGTGCGTGAATAGGCAGACACATCGTGTATACACACATAATTTTCATGGTTCAGCATTGGTGAAATTTCCCCTAAATCAAGGCCAGTTGTGCACTAGCTCAAGGTTTTTGTCCCCATAAGAAATAAGAGAATGAACTCGTTGAAGCACATTTGTGCTTTCAACTACTGTAAGATGTTGAATATGAACAGGTCAAGTATCAATTGGAGGACCTCCAGGAATACCAGTCAAATCTAGAAGCAATTTCTGGATTACCCTTTTCTCTTTCAGATTCCATGCAGAGACTGATCAGCTATTCCCGTACACACACACATGGTGTCACAACGTCACTTGCTCTACTTTATTGGTCCAGTGAAGAGGTAAAAGCTGCCGACGCAGTGATCTGCATTTGGATAAGGCCAATCTTTGAAGTTTTCCCCATTTGACTGTATGCTTAACCATGTGCTGTTTCTTTTTTCGTTTTCTGGATAGGAAACCATCTCACTCCCTCTCTACCCCATGCATGTATCTTAACTCAAGGGAGAAGTCGTGGCCAAAAGAATTTACATAGAGAACTCAACAACTCATTCTTAAGAGGGTGAAGAGTCACTATCAGAGTTGTTTTCTCTTCGATTTCAAACAGAGGACTATAGAAACCATTCGCTAACATCTTGGGGATGAAGGTTCGGTACAAAGCGTCGTATTCATGCACTTGCAAAGTTATCAATAAGTGTCGCGAATGAACGACCAAGATCTCTCTTTACATGATCCAACCGCGGATAACCTGAAGGGCCCATAACGTATTCATCATCAACATTTGGCTGTATGTCTTTTAAATTTCACGGTGAGGGTGCTCTCTAGATCTGCAACACCTTACAATAATTGTCTCGGTGAAGACGATGGACGACTTCTTTGACTAGAGAAGGACATAAACGGACGTTCTTCGTTCCTGCCGCATCTTCCTTTTCATGCATTTCGGATCCGTTCGAAAGGAATAAAGTCAACAAAGCACCGGCTTGTCATATAGTTTATTCTATCAGAAGGGGGGAATCGCGGCATTATGAGATGAGACAGCAAGAGAATATGAAACTAGTCAAAAAGCTGCAACATGTTGGGGGGAGACAATCTTATGGAATATTAGGACGGCAGCCTCAAAAGAATTCACTTAAATTGATTTGTCATTTAACTTCAAGAAGCATTAAAACAAAGGGTTTCTTGAACATTATAGGTCCAATAATTGAAGAAGTTGGCCACCTATCTTTGGTGCTCTATTCTTGGACGAGATGAAAGAAAGTATCACGGGTGGCCACTTAATCGACTGACGGCCAATCACGTTTCAATGCCAATAGCAATAACCAGTCCTTAAAACATTCTCTCGAGTCTTTCAAAATCACATACGCAGACAGCCGACCCCATCTACGTACACGACGAATGTTCGTCAAATCGAAATCGATTTGGGGCATTGATCTTTTGCACCTCGATAGATTTCAAAAGCTCTCGGTTACAAACGTGGAAAGCCACTTTCTAGCAAAAAAAAAAACGTGGAAAGCCACGGATGAAAAAGGAGAGTGAAAGGACACATGGGGGACATCAGTCTAAGTGTGTTGTTGGATAAGGATAGTGAAGAGAGAGTTCATCCCGAGGAGATAAACTATGAAAAGATTGTTGGGCAGAGGCTTTGTCTTCGAAAAAGGAGGAGGACCCTCCAAAAACGTGCTCACGCGGCCATTTTGACAATCGCCTTTTCTTTTTTCAATCCTCCTTTGAACCCGAAAAACAAAGGAAAGGAAACGGAAAATGAGTCTGTCATTATCGTCTATCAGCGTTGGCTTTGACTGACCGACGCAACGACAAGACAACCAGGATGTCTGATTCTTCTTGTGTTCACATCTCTCCTCCTCACGTTCCCCATTGGAACATTCACGCTTCATCGACAAATTACTGTGACGTGGCCTCGAATTGTCCTCGGATAATGGGCGTAATTGTTACATTACTTCGAATTGGCACTGTTATTAGCGCGACATCCGAATTCGACATTACAAAGATAAACATCGTTCTGACATGTCGCGTCGTATCAAATTTCTAAAGTCAACTCTTCATGATCATCATCGTGTTACAAATTGTGAAGAATTGTATCTACGACTAGTGTTGTGCTTGGACATGTCCGCCATTGAATCTTTTGAAAACCTAATGTTGGAGAACTTTGAGAAAAATAAGGGATTATCGAAGATTTCAGCCTTTTAGCCCTAGCTCAACCTCACGGTAGGTTCTCTTCTAATGATGAACTCGTGTTGGGTTTCATGTGATCTTACAAGTCAATAATGCCGGACTGACTAAAATATACTCTTCTAGGGCACATTAGCCACCCTATGTATAAACGTAAGTCTCTTACACACTATTTACTACAGTCCCTTTCACTTGGGCAGGTTTCGAAGTGTCGGAACTTGCCCACCTACGAAGAACGAGGGGATCTCCATGCCGAGGACCTAGAGACATGTGATCAAAAAGGAGAGATGGAGGACCTGCTTTTTCTATCTTTAGCACCAAAATTCATCTCGAAAGTAATTGTTAATAGGGTTGTCGCATTCCAAATTTCTTATCCAATAGATACCCTTTTCTATTTTTTTATCTTGGGAGGGGGACAAACATCGGATATTATATCACAAAACCCTATTCTTCTCGTCAAACCACGTCCCCCCCCCCCCCCCCCCTACAGCACTTCTCGGTCTCAATAATGATTCTTTTGCTCAAGCACCAGAACAACGTGGCACCAAGATGTGACCCGTTTGATCTCCGCAAACGAGAACCCAATCTCTTATTGGAGAGAGCGACATCGTCGGGACCTTCAGTTCAATCCGGATCACATAATTGCAGCGAGCAGGAATCTTTTCGTCTCTCGGCAACAGAACTGTGGTGGCAGGGAGGGGGGTATCTCGTTACGTTGCAGTCTTATATTGATATTTAAGTGATGGGTGCGATGCTCCGGCCTCCATTATTGTGGGTTCCCTTAGCTTTTCTTCGACGAGACAGTCAGCAGATCATTGGTCGACCCTACCTAAGTAGCTTGCATCGATCTCCTCCAATCCTTGCCTCGGGCAGAATGCAGAGTCATCATGTGATGTGAGTTCATCGCGACGTATCCGTGGCCATTGTTTGTTGGCAAGTGAAGGTAGAAAGGGTACGAACAGAACTCGAGCCCGGATTAAGAAAATGGAAAAGGAGAGGATACGTACGCGCCGATTGGAACGTCGTTACGACATCATTGAGCATGCAAGATATGGTACGATTGATAATAAGGTCAACTTGGCTTAGCTCGATTGTCACCCATCCACTTTGAATGGGGGAGGTTGGGGGTTAGACCCCTACATCTAGGAAAGGAGGGGGGCGGTTCGGCCGGAGAATCTAGCATAAACAAAATTCATGGTACGTTTAAGCATTTTGAAATCCTATCAAACGTGTTGCCCGCACCCAAAAATGTAAAAGATGAAGTTTTTCCGGCTTGATTGGCCATTCGTTTCGTCTTGTTCTTTCGATAAAGTAAAGCTTTATTTTCGATATTGTACTTTCCCGCTATCTTAATTGAAAGGAATTCCTCCAATCATATGTCTAATTAGTAGGTTACAAACGATGAATTCCGCTCACATGCAAACTAAGTAAGTATAA